TTTACTTTCCGGGCTGTTTTGTATAACAGAGGGAAAGTATCGGTCAAAAATGACCCCTAAGATTTTTTACAGTTTTGGACTCAGAGAATCTTAAAATGTCCAGAAATGCAAAAATTTGTGGGTTTTTTTTCCTGTGTGTATGGATGTTTTATAATAATTAATAAATTATAAAAAATTTTAACATAAAATATTATAACAGATGGTGCCATCACAATTTTAAATGCTTTTGCCCGGAAAGTTGCTTAACTTGTTGCTGGATACTCATATCAGCAGTCTAATATACTTGAGATCATACATACAGTTTGTCTGCGAGCAATATATTGCCACCTCAGAAATAATTAGGAAAAGTTTCATTGTATTACTATTAAAAACAACTATATTTCGATGTAGTCTGCAAATTCCTAGATGCCTATAGCATTTTTAGCGCCTTACTCGTTAATGTGATTTACATGCGCTACACACAACTTGTACCGATACAGATTATAACTAAAGACTACTTGTTCAGTTTTGTTGTACTCTTTAAACCAGATGGTTTCAAGGTTCCAAACCTTTTCCTCTCGCCCACCTCTTTCCAACATCAATCCAATGTTCCTACTCTTTCCATCTTAATATAAAATAATATGAAAAAATCTAATAGAAATTTTTTTTATTAAACATCAATTAAAATCGAGCAATTATTTATTGTGACATCGTCATAATTTCGGGCTGCAATTTTTTATCATATTTTTAATTTATTTTATTTAAAATAATATGCTCTCCACCTCAAATTACTACTTTAGTACATCAAATTACTTTTTGCCCCCGTACATCATACTTTTTCATTGACAATAGGTCGTGCTGGTCATCTATTAACTTTTTTCAGTGGAAAAGTCTTGAATTGAAATAACGTGACTTCCGGTTTGCATCGGAAGTTCATATACAGTTATTCGGGACCTTCGGTCCTTATGGTTTCCATACCTGGTTTCATTTTTCACCTATCTGACTCCGTACTCGAGATTAAGGAAAGATGACTGGACGACAGTGGGAATTTATAGGCTACAATTTTTTCAAATTTCAGCTCAGTAATGTCTTTTATTTTATCTTCTTTGCTGGTGGTATTATCAAGCAATTATTTTGCCGTTTTCTTGATAAACCAACTTTTAAAGTTATCCATAGGCGAATACACAGTTTAATTTCTGTTAAAATTAATTATAATTACTAGGTAATAATTAAACTGAATTAATGTTTAATTTCTATAAATTAATATTTGTTTATTTACCGGTTGTCAATAGCAACTCAATTTAATAATATAACATAGTTATTTTGTTTTGTATAATAAATACAAAACAATGTTTCGGTAAACAAACACAAATGCCTCTAATTCTAAATTAATTTCTGGCTATTGTAATAAATTCTGAATTTAGCAGAACTTTTATTTGTAATTTTTCATATATAGTAGAACCTCGATTATCAGGACCAATTTGGGATGAAGGTAGTCCGGATAAGGAAAAATCCGGATAATCGAAACAAATACTTTAATTTGTCTTTTAATGATAATACAACACGTTTTCTTTTCGATGACATATCGGTAATATTAAAAGTAAATACTGTATTTAAATCGTGATCAAATGTTCAAGAAACAAACGTTCGTATTGAATTTGGACTACTACTGACCAGCGCTAACAGACTACCTATTGTTTAAAAGGCCCTCTGATGGCGCAAGAAGACGGATTTTATAAAATAAAAAGCAGTTGAAACTGCATTTTTATGAATAAAAATTTGACAAACTATTTATCGTTTTATGACGTGTAAAATTTTTCATCGCGTTCACGGCTTTTAAGTAATTCGTAAACCTTCGAGGCGCGAGGCCCTTCGGACCGCGAGGCATAGGCGGTGGCCCACGTCGTCCATGCCTTATGCCGCCCTTAGTCATAGAAATGATGTAATTTGAATATAAATTATTTATAAATACGTATGTCAAGTTATATTTTTATTGCTACGTAAAATATATTTAAGAGTTTACGATCACTGTGCTGGGTGAGACGTTGTTGAAACAAAAAAAAAGTTATGCATTCCATCACGTACATAAACAGTGTCGTAATTCGCCAAGTGCAAATCAGCAAATTCGTAAAATTTTTGTTTATTTTGAACAATCCGGATAATGGAGGTTCTACTGTAACTAAGTTGTGCAATTAATGTATGTAACTATTACTTGCGATATAAACATTATTATTAAAGATAGAATAAATAAATTTATGTATATAGCCTAATATCCATCGATTATTGCGTAACAATATTTAATTTTATTATCTTAATATTCGGGATTCTATTTTGAAAAAAAATGGTTTTTTGTTTCTTACATTTATCAATCAAACTTCTCAATTAAACTCTAACTCGGATGGGAACCTACGGCATTCTGTGGTCATTGTAGAGGCTTATGTAGCCTTAGGCCTAAGATTTGTAATTAAAGTCCTTTTTATTTACAATAGCTTCGTGCACTAATTTCTACTGCATTAAATTTTTGCTTACAAGGAAACATTCATGCTTTAACATCCTGGATTTTGCTGAAATTTTAATACGGTTTTGCATACTTCTCCCACTAATGCACGATAACATAACTCGTGGCAATGAGCAGTGCTTTACGAGAAATTATTGTTCTATAAACGAATCGTAATCAGATGTGAACCAGTGAGCAAAATATCAGGTTGAAAAGGTCGAGGTCACGGGTTCGTCCTGCTTTTTTCCCAACTATTTTTTCCACTTTTTTTCCTGAAATGTTCAATCCACTAAGTTATTAGAAAATAGATTTGGCTCAAAAATAGATTTTGGGCCAAATATGTTTTATAATAATTCACTGGATTTCAATATGTTCATTAAATGTTAAATTTGTTATTTATTACGCAGCATTATAACATTATGTTTCGTAAATACAAAATCATAGATGTTTTTCTAAATATGTGTATTTTTGGTATTAAAAAATTAGAAGGTTTGTTTATTTGTTCGCTATGCACGCCTAGGCCGTTCGACTAATTGCTACGAAACTGTTAGTTACGCTCACATGCTTCTAGATTAACTAATGACTTAATCCCAGCCCAAAATATTAATTGGATTTCTATATGTCAATTAATTTCTGTCTATATTCGATTTGCTGGCTTTACATGTAGCCATCTATTGACAAAAAATTTTTATGGGATCACATAAAAGCAATTATTGTCGCATTTTTACAAGATTTTTTTTAAAACAAGCATTAAACAAGTTTTGGTCAACGACAACTAACAAAACAAGATTGGTCAACGACAATTAACAAGTTTTATATGAAGTCCTCCGGACTTCATATAAAACTTGTTAGTTGTCGTTGACCAATCGCTCTTTCAGGAAGAGATCAACAACTACTTTTGGTCGAATTACTTCACTCCTTCTTCCTATAGGATCTAGCAGTATGATGGCATTCGAAACGAAAATTACATAATACAAGGTTATAGGCAAGCACAAAATATGATTTAAGTGGTTTTCTACGGTGCTGAGTTTAAGTATTTGGTCAATTTTTTAAAAAATTTGATTCGTTGGCAGATTACCATTTGATATTCAGCTGTGAATGGAACAGTTTGTGAGAGCTAACATTAGAAAAAAAATGGTGTCTGCTTGACCAATAAAATTATGCCATTTCGTACCATCCGAGTATCTCCATAAACATGACAACAGCAGGCTAAAATAATAATAACCTTTATATTGTTTTCGTTTTAATGTTTCTTATATTGGAATATTTGATTTAGGGGAGACCGGGGCAAGATTGGCATGTTAAGTTTTAGTTAAATTTTGTGTAATAAATACTGCTGTAAACTGAAAAAAAAGCTTTGCATATTGTCTATTGGAATGTTACCTTACTATAGAACTGGTTAAAANATGAAGTCCGGAGGACTTCATATAAAACTTGTTAGTTGTCGTTGACCAATTGCTCTTTCAGGAAGAGATCAACAACTACTTTTGGTCGAATTACTTCACTCCTTCCTATAGGATCTAGCAGTGTGGTGGCATTCGAAAAGGAAAATTACATAATACAAGGTTATAGGCAAGCACAAAATATGATTTAAGTGGTTTTCGACGGTGCTGAGTTTAAGTATTTGGTCAATTTTTTAAAAAATTTGATTCGTTGGCAGATTACCATTTGATATTCGGCTGTGAATGGAACACTTTGTGAGAGCTAACATTAGAAAAAAAATGGTGTCTGCTTGACCAGTAAAATTATGCCATTTCGTACCATCCGAGTATCTCCATAAACATGACAACAGCAGGCTAATATAACCTTTAATATAAACATAATAATAACCTTTATATTGTTTTCGTTTTAATGTTTCTTATATTGGAGTATTTGATTTATACAGTATAACAACAAAGATTATCTTATGTAAGGGTAATTAGCAGGTAAGCCCGGCGTTGCCCGGCAAAAATAAGAACAAACAACCTTGNCTTGCCCCGTATACCGAAGTTGCCCCGGTCTCCCCTATACAGTATAACAACAAAGATTATCTTACGTAAGGGTAATTAGCAGGTAAGCCCGGCGTTGCCCGGCAAAAATAAGAACAAACAACCTTGTGGCATGTCACTAAAACAGCATGTGGCCTTCTCTAGTAGAAAGGCTTCCCGTCCGTTCACTAGCTAATAAGGGTGTCAATTATGATTAACACTATATAATCGCATTTAAATTCCAATTTTAAATTTGAAAACCTCAGCGAAGCAGAAAACAGAATATATAATTACAGTATATTCGATGAAATAAAGTAGAAAAAATACAATATTAAAAAATAATTGAATTAATAACAGTTGTTATGTTTTCTATAAAAATATGCAACTTATTTATCATACGCAAAATATAATTGTTTAACTTAAATTGAAAGAATTTTCTTAAAATATATTGAAAGCGAAAAATTTAATTTATTTATTAATTATCATTAATTTATTATTTGTTTATCGGTATTAGAATAATTGATTTATTTATATAAATTCTTTTTATTTATTTCCAGTGCTTCCTAATTTGTCATCACAGATATTTCAAAGATATTTAAGTCAAATTTCGGCGCACAGGAACTTCAATAATATTCCAATTTCTACATTACAGTATCAAACGTTTCCAGTTAATCACGATATTTTTCCTTCTTATATACCTCAACATATGAAAAAATACTCTTTTCATCCATATTAATAAAAATTTGTGAAATAAAATGTACGAACTATTCCTCAGTCGATTTAAAAAAATTAATGTAAACAATTAATTAATTATCATTACCATTATTCCAAAAAAAAAATGTAATTTAGAACAAGTAAGAATAAAATAAAAGTTATATGTATATAAAGGTATAAAACATTAATATGAACATAATCAGGAAGGGAATTAATTGATAAAATGAGAGTTTGGTCTCAAGTTTTCCAGCATATTTCTGCATGAACAAAAATGATATCTGATTTTATACGGATTAACCGTTAATGCGAGTAAAATAATTATAGAAGAAATTTTCTATTCTATTTTGTGAATTTATTATATATATATAAACATAGTACATAAGTTATATATAAATCTGTATAGAAGTTATATAGAAAATATTTATACTCTCTTGCACTTGTATTTAGTTAACACGTTACAGAAGCAAGATAACAACAGCATAACCTCGTGCAATGTTTTTATCTATATACTGTATATTATATAGGTGATGTATTAGAATTTCAGAGATTTTATTTTGCTTCTACAACCTCCAATTTTTCTCTTTAACAATAATTCATGATAAAAGATTTTAGCTTCATTTTACAAGCCTATTTCAAATTATAAACTAATTTTTATTCTATACATAAAAATTAATGCCAATTATAGTGAAATAAAATAAACTTTTTTAATGACATAACTAGCAAATGTCTGCAAATATTTTGACACGCCAAAACATTTTTATTGAATATTTAAATAGTTTAAGTGATAAACGTAGTAATCGAGAATCATTGGAAGTTTCACGCGATGAACTTCTTTTCTTCCGATAAACGGATAAAAATTTATTAAATAATAATATCAATTTTGATTTAATAAAGAAGAATTACATAAGAATAATTATAATAATGTCGAGTGAAGCGCGCCAAAAGTTTTTTTGCTTGTTATGTTCGGTGCCAAACTCTTAATTAGAAACATACTGTTGAAAGTTACTATAAATTGTCGAATCCATAATTTTCTCTGTATTATTATGTGCTAAAATATATATTATGTATCTTTCATAATTAAAATAAATTTATAAAAACTGGCTTGGTAAATATCTTATTTAGTTTCGTTTAAATCGGATTTCCGGGATGTCACATAATTTATTTGGGAACAGCGCTTTGGAACCAGAAACTGAAGCTCGGAGTCATATCTTTTAAAATTTCTTGATTCTACCTCAAGATTTATTTTTATTTTTATTTTGCTTAGGTGTAAATTTCCTCAGCCAGTCATTCGGAAGTTTTGAGTTTTTAACTTTGAAAACATTTCAAACATTTTTATGGATCTAACGTAAAGTTCTCTAACAAAGTATATTACTATTTATTTAGTACAAGGTAGAATAATCCTTTGTACGAGGTTGAATTAAATATAAATAAAATTAAACATTATACAGAATATAAATCAAACTTTATAATATACAAATTAAAAAAATCTATTACAACAATTATAACAAATATAATATTGTGAGATCCGTGTGCAAACCAATTTTCCACTTTTTCCTAACTTTTTGACATACAGTATTTAAAACAAATTTACGATCTTATCGTGAAAATACCATTGTCAGAAAAACGAAATCGAATGTCTCATCAACAACGATAGAAACTTATAACGCTCCTTTTTAATGTAAACATTTACACATCTAAACAATGGCATTCTCGTTCTGCAAGACTTACTGTTTACAATTAAAGTCCGAATTCGTCATTTTGTTGTGGTCCCGGGAACAACTTTAACCTCTATACCTGCTCCAATGACATTTATCTCCCACAATAGTTGATCACTTGACGAATTTTCCCACAGCGAAGCTATAAAATCCCATTCATTCCCCCGTTTCAGGGGAAGTCTTTCATCTACGGCTGGTCGAAAGTGATTCAGGTCTCAAAGGATTTTGGTTTGCGTCAATCTACAAAAAGGAAAGGAATAATATTTTCTTCTCCGCGGAATTATCATAGAGGTATGAAACAATTAATGTGAACTCTCTCTCCGTGTATTAGGAGCTAGCGTACCAAGTTAAAGGTTCTCGATGTTAGAGTTTGTAATCGTTAATTTTTGTTTAATCTATAAACCGTTATTTCCATTGTTAAATGGTGTCATTTACTCGCATATCGCCTACGCCTTATCGACGACTCCTCTCACTTCCTCCACTCAACATAACAAAAGGGATCCCGACCCCTCGGGATCGAATTTCGTAAACAAGCTATCCCCTGACAAGTGGGCAGGTCCACCAGGTGTCCACAATATATAAACAAGTTATATTAATACAGACAAATGTGACCAGGTTGCGATGGACTATCTCATCTTAAATTTTAGAAAAAACATAGAAATTTTAGAAAAAACATAGAAAAACAAACGTAAAATATTTAAATTAAGAACAAAATTCAGTAATCTGTCACAGCCAGCCGGAAATTTTCCCAAAACAGAAAAGTTACACTGAACTAATATAACAGAGTTACGAAGCCACGCCTTCTGAATATTTAAACAGAAAATTAATAAAAATTTACTTTATAATAATATAAATTTAATATATTATTATTCAAAAATAATCAATGAACAAAAGTCCTCCCTTGATAACAATCTTTTATCAAAATATTTTCTACGAAGCTGAGAAAATCTTCCACAGGAAGCAACGACATGAAAAGTATCTTCAATCACAAATTCGCTAAATAAAGAGTATTTATCAATAAACCTATTAAGATAACGGACAGAGTCGCTTCTAAGTAAGCTTAAAATAATTCCTAATAATTAAAATGTTAGATACTTTATGTTCTTTCTAACGTAAGTACCAATAGTAAAAACAGACTGAACGACTTTTCAACCAGGCGATAGTAAGTAACTGATGAAAAGTAGTTACTGTATTAGTTAATTTTTATCTCTATCTGTTTTTATTTCCTGTAAATTCATTTCCCTTAATCAAAATTTGATATATCTGAGAATAATGCTAAAATTAATTTACGTGTGATCAAATTATATGTGATCAAAAAATCGTTTTCTATTGTTTATATAAAATTTATATAAAGCGTTAGAAACAGATTATCAATAAATCAACAAAATAAAATGGTTTAAATAAGGTACTCCTATCTCGAACAATTGTACTTAGAAAGTAAATGTATGGCTGAAGCCGGAGCCAGAAAATTCACCTGAATTGAAGTTGAAGCCATGATCAGGATTCTTGTGTAACTTACTAAGGATCGTTCGGAAATCAGCCGACGAATTTACTTTTATTGTATTTTAAAGTATAATAAATAAACTAATATCTAATAATTGATATAACTGATTTTAGTAGAGTAAAATATATTTAAATACAAATAAATAATAATTATTATTAATTTCTATTTTGTATCAATATAGAGCAAATTAAATCTAGATGTAGAAAGGAATCGAAAGCAAAGAAGGCTGAGAAAACTCAGTTTAAAATGATCTCCCAGAAATATACAGGGTGATATAGTTAAAGAATAGGTGTTTGGAGCTCTCTGTAGAAAGAACAATTGAGAAAATTTTTGGAAAAAGTTTACTTCAAAATTCATCTACAAGAACTGCCTCCGATCAACAATAGACGTTTTGAAAATTTCAGTATCAATCCAATGCGATGCTGCCGGAAGTTACACAACTACTGGCGTTTTCGAGGCCAACGAGAAAGACAAGCCTGGTCACGGTCGAAACATCGGGAAATCACGTAACCAACTTAGTTCTTCTAGTCTATCTATTGATATCTATCTAGCAGTATAATGTATTGTTACAGTAAATATTCTAGAAAAATTACTTATACAAGAATTTCTCTTATAGAGGGGGGAAGTGCAAAAGTAGTATACAGTTGAGAATCTGAGAAATATAAATGTTTGGTGTTCATTATTATTATTTTTATTATCTTTTATTAGTTCGTATTCCTTATTTATTTGTGATTCAATTTGTACATAAAAATAAATGTTTTTTCTTCCTATTTTCTCTCTTATGTTTTCCCCCCATAATAATAACTGTATACCTACTTTTTCACCCCCTATATTTATATTATGAACATATTTCGCTTAATTATATATGCTATGTAATATGTACTGATATTGGTGATATGAATATTAAAAAACTGTTCTTTTCTGTGATACGTAGGTAAACACAACCTGCACTTAAATACTTCGATATTTTTGTCACTCCTTTATGTGCTTACTTGCCTTAATAGGCCTTTTTAAACTTTATCTATGACTATATTTTAAATCACACTCCTACATTCCATTTTATTTAATGCATAACGAGTTCATCGATGTTGACAATATGATAAACAATGATAAACACACTAGTTTTAATCTTCGGGTCAGGCAAAATGGCTAACTTTACATATGCGTCAACGTGCGGAAGAAATTGACATTAATGCTAGTTTAGAGCATTGTTGCCAACTGCGTCAAGTGCGTGGAAAATTCCCATATTTGTGGAAATTTTGGAAATAAATGGGAAAAAGGGAAAATAAGTGTCGATGTGAGAAACTTGTATCTGTTTTAATCAGGATGCAGAATTATTTTACGATTAGAAGAAATATTTTCTGAACTTCGTCTGCATCATGTTATTTCTTTGCTTGCACTTTTCACCTAACGGAGGATTCGGGAACTACAGTTTTATTTCACGATTCAACAATAATTGTTAAACTATAAATTACGTGATAGCCGCCTGTGGACTGTGGTAGACTAAATTTAAGCCTGAAAATAGAAGTAGTTGCTACATCCTACTTGCTACCTACGTACGGATTAATTGTAATTGTTCTTACTACTATATCTGAATGAGATAAAAAGGTAAGATCTGATTTACCTAAATACTTATGGATCGTACACAAAAAACAACGTGGCCTGTTTTAGGTAAGTGAGGGGTTTAAATGTGGACCATGGTGGACTGCTTTTACAAATTCACTATCTACACTGACTTCATTTAATATAACATTTTAAATGCTTTGATAATATATTCTGTCTTCTAAAAGAGTGCTCGCATGCTTTTAGAAGGAGAGGTTTGGAGACCAGTTGGAGGGAG